TAGATACTTTTCTGCAGCTTACAAAGATAATCTGGTTTGTCTGGATTAACAAAACCTTCCGGTTGTTGCATATAAATGTCGCAATCAATGTCGCCATTTAAAAAAGCAGTTCGAACATCCATTTGGTGGACTTCGAGATCATATTCGTTGGCTAATGCCAGTAATGTACGTAAAGATGTATGTCTGGCCACGGGGGAAAATACTTCGTCATAATCAGCTCCTTTTGTTTGGGAGTATCCTTGAGCTACAACTCTCGCTTTGAAACGATCAATTGACCCGTCTTCTTTCCGCTTTACCTTTAGCACCCACCGCGATCCGACTACGTTTTGATCATCACAGGGAGGAACCAATTCCCATGTATCGTTTTCTAGTAATGAAGAATATTCTGAGATCATCGCGTCTTTCCATTCCTTCGCATACTTCCCATTCAGCGCTCTTTGGACACTTTCTGGATCATCAACTTCAGATGTTAAAGACTCGACTACTGGACATGCATTGTCTCTGAACTTACTCGGAATCATACGCTGTCTTACAGGACCTAAATTTTTCACGTTTTCCATAAACCGCTCTTCGTATGTTTTCGAAGTAGATAGGGTTTCACTTTCTCCCACTGGTTCGTCGTTCTCGGGATTAACGGGTTGCTCCATGGTTTCATTCAAGTTAATGTTTGTTTCAACAACAGGATCCACTCTGAACTCATCCTGATCTTCGTTGAAGGTTTGATCATCAAGTTCATCAACTCTATCTAGATCAAATAACTCAACAGTTTGTTTTTCATCATCCGGAACTTCAATTCTCTCTTTCTGCTCAAACACAAAGTCATTCTTTGGGTTCTCAAAATTATGAAATTTCTTCTCTAAGAATTGAACATCTCGACTTATCATGAACTTTCTTCTTTTAACATCATAAACTTTGTATCCTTTTGTGCCAGTAGGATAGCCAACAAATATAGCTTCATAAGACTTTTGGTCTAATTTTCTACGATTACTGTCCGGGATATGAACATAGCACATACATCCAAAGACTTTAAGATTAGAAACATCTGGTTTTTCACCGAAAAGACATTCATGAGGGGTTTTGTCCTTTAATGCAACTGTAGGACTTCGGTTATGTAGGTACACGGCTGTATTGCACGCTTCAGCCCAGAAGACTAGGGGAAAATTTGCATGATATATCATGGATCTTGCAGATTCTAAAATCGTACGGTTTAATCTTTCTGCCACACCGTTTTGTTCAGGGGTGTAAGGACAAGTGAATTGTTGGACAATGCCCTTCTCTGTACAGAATTTGGAGAAACTGTTCGATTTGTACTCACCGCCGTTGTCGCTGCGCAGAATCTTCACTTTATTATGATTTCCATTTTGATTTTCAACATAATTCACAAACTCCTTGAACTTAGTAAGTGCTTCATCTTTCTTCTTAATAAAGTAAGCAACAGCATATCTGGAATAGTCATCAGTAAATGTGACCAAATAACGGCTACCGCCAATCGACTCAACTTGCATTGGTCCACACATGTCAGTGTGTATGATTTCATAAGGTCTGCTTGCCCTATGTAGACTTGCTTTTGGAAAGGGATTCTTATGCATCTTTCCCATTGAACATCCTTTGCAATCTTTCTCCACTTGTTTACTTTCATCATACATCATTCCGGTGACCATATCATTCTTCATCAGTTGATTAACATATCCATTGTTTAGATGACCAAATCTCTGGTGCCACATATCCAAGGGTTCAGTTGTAGGATGGGCAAATTCAACTGGATTAACAGTATACAGCATACCATCTACCAATTTACCAATCACGTATTCTTTATCTTCTTTGTAAACAACACATTTTTCGTCATCGAATGACACTTTAGCTCCCATTGAAGCCATTGCAGGCACAGACAATAGGTTTTTTGCTAACATCGGCACATACAATACTTTGTGTAACTCCAAATAGAATGTATTGTCATTTTGAGTATATAGCTTAACCATTCCTTCACCCAGGGCTTTGATACAGGTATTGTCACCCAAATAAATATTCACCGGTGTTTGGTATTGAGTGTAGTTGATGATAAGGTCCTTGCGATTTGTCATATGCTTTGTCGCAGCTGAATCCACATACCAATCATTTGAATTTCCTGTGCTTGAAATCAGTGCTACTCCACCACCTTCCGCAAGCTTCGAATGTTCCCCTTTGTTTCCACCTTTTCTATAGTTGAGTGGACAGTTCCTGGCGATGTGTCCAGCTTTGTTACACTTAAAGCATAAAATATTTCTTGCTCTTCCATCACGTTGTTGTTGTGCTGCTGGTGTCAATGTATCCCCACCTTTATTGGTGTTCCATGATGGCTTGTAGTCTACAGGAGTCCAATTTCTAGAATGTTCACCATGTCTTCTTCGATCATAATTTCTTCCTCTGCTCATGTATGACTTCCTGTTTGTAAGCAATGCATTGTCACTCTTGTTATTCTCAAATTTTTCCTTTCTCTTCAAATACTCTTCTATTAACAATCCCTTTATATTGTCCCATTCCAACTCTTCAGCTTTTCTCGCATTCAAACTTGTGAGGAGATTATCATACGATTCGGGTAAACTCCCTAGCACCACAGTAGCGAATTTCTTTGATGATATATCTTCTTCCATTTCACGCAGTTGTTCTGCCAATGATGTCATATAGGTCAGGTGTTTCATAAGATCTCCACCTTCTTCCATGGTGGCTGCGTAGAATTTACGATTCAAACGCACGACTTGGGTAACAGATACAAACTCAAATTGTTTTTTCAAGTTCGTCCATGCTGCTAAAGGATCTGTCGTACTCGAAATGTGTATTTGCAAGTGTTTCTCGACGTTTAAGGCAATCAGAGAGTAGGCTTTATCTGATCGCAACTGGAAAGCATTCTTTACAGCATTTGTCGCATCTTCGTCAGGAGGTATTTCTTTGCCTTCTTGTGTAAAGCCCCAAAGGCCACGTTCCATAAGAACTAGCTTGACATTGTATTTCCAAGACTGATAATTCTTGCCATTTAGCTTATCGATCTTCGTAATTTCCGCCATATTAGACTCGAAGTATTTTCACCAAAATTTCCGCCAAACAGGACAAATAAACACGTTTTAATTCAATTCCACACGTCCTGGGCCCATAACCTATTGAAATATTCGCTCACTTTCGATTGTATAACTATTTATTTGAAGATAAACATAACTTTAATAGACTTAATAATATGAATTGATTTTCTAAAACATGTCCGACCGAATGTACACATCAGAGAAGAGAATCTCATTAATCTTTAACCAATCATATTTAGCGTTATAGAATTTGGCGGGAACTTATTATTCTTAACATAGGAGGAACAGTTTAGAACTGATAGAGCTATCCAGTATAAATAAATTAGTTAGTTTAGTTTACTGTAGGTTTCCTCCTGTAGTAACACTGGATCAATAAGAGATGATCCTTACTGGACCTCTAGGAAGAACAGTTTAGAACTGATAGAGCTATCCAGTATAAAAGTGTATGAATTAATTGTAGACCAAGTGCAGTTGATATTGACAAAGCTCAGAAGATGGCAGTACTAGAAAGATTGGATTACGCTTTCAACGTGGCAGAGCAGGAATTTCAAGTCCATCGCTTATTGGATCCTACAGGTATGAGTCGATATTCTCAAGCTTTGCCAAATGAGAAAATGTTGTGTAAACTTGTTTCCCGAAGGTAGCAAAACCAGGAAACATCGTTTCAACAAGTCATTTACTTTTATTGTATAAATTTTATTATTCCAGACGTTGAGCAAGGGAATGTTGACAAGAAAGGAATGCTGATGTATTTGTCTGCATTATATGAAGTATTACGTAACCTTGAACCCGCGGTTGTTGACACCACATCAGAGGAAGTGAGCGAGGGACCTGGTGAAGAGGGAATTGTGAAAACAACTACGTCCTTTGTAGTAGAGGTACGAGGGTAAACTGTGATGTAGAACAAGAAAGAATAAACTATTAGTAGTCATCATATCTATTGATATCCATTGATCAGAATGTTCCATTGTCTTTTCATTGTTTTGAAAATCTCACTGTTCTCCATGCCATCCAGTCATGATCCAGTGATCAGAATATGTTCCATTGTCTTTTCATTGTTTTAAAAATCTCACTGTTCTCCATGCCATCCAGTCATGATCCAGTGATCAGAATGTTCCATTGTCTTTTCATTGTTTTGAAAATCCCACTGTTCTCCATGCCATGCATCCAGTGATCAGAATGTTCCATTGCCTTTTCATTGTTTTGAAAATCTCACTGTTCTTCATGCCATCCAGTCATGATCCAGTTATCAGAATGTTCCATTGTCCTTTCATTGTTTTGAAAATCTCACTGTTCTCAATGCCATCCAGTCATGATCCAGTGATCAGAATGTCGCATTGTCTTTTCATTGTTTTGAAAATCTCACTGTTCTCAATGCCATCCAGTCATGATCCAGTGATCAGAATGTTTCATTGTCTTTTCATTGTTTTGAAAATCTCCATGTCATCCAGTCATGATCCAGGGATCAGAATGTTCCATTCTCTTTTCATTGTTTTGAAAATCTAATTGAAATCCTTATTCCTCCATCATGTTTTCTAGAGTGGGCCTGGTTCTAACACGTTACGTATTGGCAATGAAGTCATCGACATTACTACAGTATCAACCAATGAGATTGTCTTACAATACAAGACTATATATTATACAGTATTGTACACGATCAAGGGATTGGAAAAGAGGATTGAGAAAATAAGAAATGAGGAGCCAAGCCAAGAGAATGCAAAGACTTTACGGGTGAGTGGGGGACACGAGTGTCGTTCGTGTGAAAATATAGAAGTTGTTACAAGACTGTGGCAGATTTGCTACAAAATTGTTTAAGTTCAGGTTGTGTTCACAGTACTTGTTCCCAGCTTGCTACAAGGTTGATGACCCAACATGTTTACTACAAGGTTCATAACTCAACTGACTGTTGTATTTCTTTATTTTTATTTCAGGAAATTCAGCAAGAAATGCAAGAACTCCAGGGGAAGATCAAGGAACTAAATGTAACAAACAAAGAGATGGCCAAGGCTGAGGGTGTTGATCGCCAGGAATTCTCAGATATCCAAAGAGAGTTAGGACAACTCAGTAGTCGGTGGTCTACGTTGATACAACAGAATAATGAAGAGAATAAGAGGCAAGCAATGTTTAAATGTTAGAAGGGGACATGGAAAAATGTCTGAATTAGAGAAGTGCCCGAATTAGAGAGGTGTCCGAATTGGAGAGATGGCCGAATTAGAGAGGTGTCCGAATTAGAGAGGTGTCCGAATTGGAGAGATGGCCGAATTAGAGAGGTTCTTGAATTAGAGAGGTGTCCGAATTAGAGAGATGTCCGAGTTAGTTAGAGAGGTGTCCGAATTAGAGAAGTGTCCGAATTAGAGAGGTGCCCAAATGAGAGAGGTGTCCGAATTAGAGAGGTGTCCGAGTTAGAGAGGTGTCCGAATTAGAGAAGTGTCCGAATTAGAGAGGTGCCCAAATGAGAGAGGTGCCCAAATTAGAGAGGTGTCCGAATTAGAGAGGTGTCCGAGTTAGAGAAGTGTCCGAATTAGAGAAGTGTCCGAATTAGAGAGGTGTCCGAATTAGAGAGGTGTCCGAATTAGAGAGGTGTCCGAATTAGAGAGGTGGCCGAATTGGAGAGATGGCCGAATTGGAGAGATGGCCGAATTGGAGAGATGGCCGAATTAGAGAGGTGTCGGAATTGGAGAGATGGCCGAATTGGAGAGATGGCCGAATTAGAGAGGTTCTCGAATTAGAGAGGTGTCCGAATTAGAGAGATGTCCGAGTTAGTTAGAGAGGTGTCCGAATTAGAGAAGTGTCCGAATTAGAGAGGTGCCCAAATGAGAGAGGTGTCCGAGTTAGAGAGGTGTCCGAGTTAGAGAGGTGTCTGAATTAGAGAAGTGTCCGAATTAGAGAGGTGCCCAAATTAGAGAGGTGCCCGAATTAGAGAGATGTCCGAATTAGAGAAGTGTCCGAATTAGAGAGGTGTCCGAATTAGAGAGATGTCCGAATTAGAGAAGTGTCCGAATTAGAGAGGTGCCCGAATTAGAGAGATGTCCGAATTAGAGAAGTGTCCGAATTAGAGAGGTATCCGAATTAGAGAGGTGCCCGAATTAGAGAGATGTCCGAATTAGAGAATTGTCCGAATTAGAGAGGTGCCCAAATTAGAGAGGTGCCCGAATTAGAGAGATGTCCGAATTAGAGAAGTGTCCGAATTAGAGAGGTGTCCGAATTAGAGAGATGTCCGAATTAGAGAGGTGGTGTTCTCTACCCTTGGCAGATGGACGTGGCCCCAATGGAATAGTGGTGATGAATATTTAGTTTTCGAAACTATTTTGACATTGTTTCTTTCACAGACAACCTGCCATCATGAGAGAAGTAAGAACCACAAAGACTGTCCATGTATGTTTTAAATTGATTGTAAAAGTTTGATTAACTAAAATCTACTACGAGAAAACCGTTGTTTATTCTACTGATAATCTCTATTTCTAGACCGCTCGTCTGACTATTGGAGATGTAGTGATGGAAATTACAACAGTTTCAACAAATGAGATTGTGATAAAATACAAGATTATTTATTATCAAATCATCACCATTATTAAACTGATTGAATCCAACATGAAAGTTATCAATGAAGAGGAACCAAGTCAGGAAACTGCAAGACTTCTTGATGTGAGTGAAATATATTCACCCTAGATACTGTAGGTCTATCCCCTGCATATCAGTTCTAAATTGATCCAGTGTTACCACAGAAGGAAACCTAAAGTAAACTAACTTTATTTATACTGGATAGCTCTATCAGTTCTAAACTGTTCTTCCTAGACGTCCAGTAAAGATCATCTCTTATTGATCCAGTGTTACTACAGGAGGAAACCTAAACTGAACTAACTTTATTTATACTGGTTTTACATTGATCATTCCTCCAGGAAAACAAGCAGAGAATGGAACAACTGCAACCAAAGATCACAGAGTTAAATGAACTGATGTCACAAATGAAAGATGCTGACGGTGTTGATCAAGATGAATTATTTCAACTGCAGTCTGAACTCAAGGACTTTGACTCTAGCTTGACTACAGTGACAGAACAGATTACTGAAGAGGAAAAAAGGTGGGCTCTTTGCACACAAAATGTTAGCTAAGATAAGTCAAAACATTGCGTGACTGGATGGCATGGAGAACAGTTTGATATTCACAACAATGAAAAGACAATGAAACATTCTGATCACTGGATCATGACTGCATGGCATGAAGTACAGTGGGATCCAGTGTTTGACAGGGAATAAAATACCATTGAAAATCTCGTTACTCGGAGTGGTTAAAATTAGAATTACAAAAGATTGTATTATTTTGAACCAACAACATGTTAGTTAATCGACCTATTTATGCACACAAGAATCTTCCTTGTTGAGTAATGAAGCACAACTAGTTTACTGGCTTTAACTGTATACATACAGGGTTATAGGGGGTATTCAAAGGTGGACAGTGTCTGTATAATGTGGTAGCATCAAATAACTTTTCCATGATTTTTTTATTAGACAACCAGCACCAGCTACAGAGACTGTGTACAGAACTACCACTGAAATAGTCGAGGTAAGTGTTCAGTTTGAAATTAGACATAATTCAATAATACCCTACTATGTTGAGAGGTGTTTACTTCAGCTCTACACCAAGGTTGTTGTAAAAACGGGGCAGAGAATGGACCATTTGCATTATAGACTAAATTTTGATCTAAACAAGTCTAGACAAAAATTTCATCACTGCTTGAAAGAGCATCACAAAATTAGTAATATTCCAAAGTTTCGTTGCGAAATGTTGTAAAATGCGGATAATATAGCCTTGCGAAGTCTGCCGTTTTTCAGTCATTCGCATTACGCGGGTAAATTGACAGCCCAATACCCTTTGGGGCTGTCAATTTCCCGTTTGTAATACAAAATGACTGAAAAACGGCAAACTTTGCAAGGCTATATTATCCGCATTTTACAACATTTCGCAACGAAACTTTGGAATATTACTAATTGTGTGATGCTCTTTCAATTGAGCTGTGATGAAATTTTTGTCTAGTGTTTGGTGAAACACTCGAATCACCACAGCTTTCTAATTCTGAAACTAATTTCATTTTATGCAATACAGAACGCGCCAACCAGATCGACAACGTTACGTATTGGTGCTCAAGTCATCGACATTACTACAGTGTCAACCAATGAGATTGTCTTACAATATAAGACTATATATTATACAGTACTGTACACGATCAAGGGATTGGAAGAAAGGATGGAGAAAATAAGAAGTGAAGAGCCAAGCCAAGAGAATGCAAAGGCTTTACGAGTAAGACTATAATGGTGTTAGTCCAGTAGGATCATTGCATTAGTGACCTACACCAAAGTAAACTAACTTTATTACTTTATTTATACTGGATAGCTCTGTCAGGTTTAAACTGTTCACAATCATGAAGGCATACTGTATAACTTGCTTACAATATTTTATTTCAGGAAATCCAGCAAGAAATACAAGAACTCCAGGGGAAGTTCAAGGAACTGAATGAAACAAACAAAGAGATGTTCAATGCTGAAGGTGTTGATCGCCAGGAATTCTCAGATATCCAAACAGAATTAAGACAACTCAGAAGTCAGTGGTCTACGTTGATAAAACAGAGTAATGAAGAGAATAAGAGGTAAGCAATGTTTAAATGTTGGAAGGGAACATGGAAAAATTTCTGAATTAGAGAGTTGTTCAAATAAGAGAGGTGCCCGAATTAGGGAGGTGTCCGAATTAGAGAGGTGTCGTTTTCTTCCCTTGGCAGATGGGCGTGGCTTCCATTGAATAGTGGTGATGAAGATCTAGTTTTCGAAACTATTTTGACTTTGTTTCTTTCACAGACAACCTGCCATCATGAGAGAAGTAAGAACCACAAAGACTGTTCATGTATGTTTTAAATTGATTGTAAAAGTTTAGTGGACTAGAATCTACTAAAAGAAAACAGTTCTTTATTCTACTGATAATCTCTATTTCTAGACCGCTCGTCTGACTATTGGAGATGAAGTGATAGAAATTACAACAGTTTCAACAAATGAGATTGTGATAAAATACAAGATTGTTTATTATCAAATCATCACCATTATTAAACTGATTGAATCCAACATGAAAATTATCAATGAAGAGGAACCAAGTCAGGAAACTGCAAGACTTCTTGATGTGAGTGAAATATATTCACCCTGCTTACAGTATCTGTTATCCATAGAGGTCCAGTGAGAGACATCTCAGTGTTACTACAGGAGGAAACCTAAACTAAACTAACTTTACTTATACTGGATAGCTCTATCAGTTCTAAACTGTTCTCTCTAGAGGTTCAGTAAGGATCATTTCCTATTCATCCAGTGTTACTACAGGAGGAAACGTAAACTAAACTGACTTTTTTAATACTTTTTTTACATTGCTCGTTCCTCCAGGAAAACAAGCAGAGAATGGAACAACTACAACCAAAGATCACAGAGTTAAATGAACTGATGTCACAAATGAAAGATGCTGACGGTGTGGATCAAGATGAATTATCTCAACTGCAATCTGAACTCCAGGACTTTGACTCTCGCATGTCCACAGTGACAGAACAGATCACTGAAGAGGAGAAAAGGTGAAATATTCTGTAGGCTCTTTGCATAAATGCTATGTTATTTTGATCAAACAAAATCTTAGTTAAATGACCTACTTACGACAAAAGAGTCGTCCTTGATAATGTGGCACAACTAGTTACTGCTCTAGGCTTGACTTTATACAGTATATACAGGGGTATTCAAAAGTTGACAGTATCTGTATAATGTGGTAGCATGAAATAACTTTTCCATGATTTTTTTTATCAGACAACCAGCACTAGCTACGGAGACTGTGTATAGAACTACCACTGAAATAGTCGAGGTAAGTATTTGAAACGACAATGTAGGCATAATTCAATTATACCTTTAACACCCTACTCTGTTGAGAGGTGTTTACTTCAGAGCTACAGCAAGGTTGTTGTAAAAACAGGGCAGAGAACTGTTCATGTTTAAAGGAGTAAGGAGATTAAACTACATCTCCTCAATTCCATCCATTCACCACGAAATACAAGACCACTACATATAATGAAAGGAATAAACATTATTTTCTCACTCTGATAACTGCAGGTTGACCAGCATCTGCTGCACGATAGTGTTTAGTGATACCCTCGAATCACCACATCTTTCTAATTCTGAAACTATTCTTCATTTTATGCAATACAGAACGCGCCAACCAGATCGACAACGTTACGTATTGGTGCTCAAGTCATCGACATTACTACAGTGTCAACCAATGAGATTGTCTTACAATATAAGACTATATATTATACAGTATTGTACACAATCAAGGGATTGGAAGAAAGGATGGAGAAAATAAGAAGTGAAGAGCCAAGCCAAGAGAATGCAAAGGCTTTACGGGTAAGACTTTAATAGTGTTAGTCCAGTAAGGATGATCGCATTAGTGACCTACACCAAAGTAAACTAACTTTATTTATACTGGATCTAGCTCTATCAGTCCTAAGCTGTTCTTCCTAGAGGTCCAGTAAGGATCATCTCTTATTGATCCAGTGTTACTACAGGAGGAAACCTAAACTAAACTAACTTTATTTATACTGGTTAACTCTATCAGTTTTAAACTGTTCACAATGATGAAAGCATACTGTATAACTTGCTTACAATATTTTCAGGAAATTCAGCAAGAAATGCAAGAACTCCAGGGGAAGGTCAAGGAACTGAATGTAACAAACAAAGAGATGTCCAAGGCTGAAGGTGTTGATCGCCAGGAATTCTCAGATATCCAAAGAGAATTAGGACAACTCAGTAGTCGGTGGTCTACGTTGATACAACAGAATAATGAAGAGAATAAGAGGTAAGCATACTTGAAATGATTATTTTAAGAAAAACACGACACCAGGTCGAAGACTCGAAGTCAGAGGCGGGAGATTTTATTTTGATTATAATTGGGTTGTACAGTAGATGATAAATGTTTTGGAGTGGGCTGAATTTTGTAACAACAATGACAAGACGCTACTCTAGACAAAAAATATCAAAATCATTGTGTAATGTTTCCTGGTCAATTTCAATGGGTGTGGGCATTGAGTGTTTCATTTGTCATTTTTTAGGCAACCAAAAATTGTCACTTATACAACCACAACAACTGTTGTCCCGGTAAGTTATGACCCCCAAACTTCTTTAAAATAGTTGTGAATAGAAATGATGACAATATGAATGACGCCTCTCTTCCCATTTGGCTAGAAGGGCGAAATTGAAAGACGTGACCTTTTTATTTGAATTCTGGGATTGCAAAATGATAGTTTGTTATCACTTGAACGTACGGTTCTAATCTTTCACTTATCTGCGTTTTAAATATCTGTATTTCTTTTCTGAAAATATAGAGACAGAAAGCTCGTCTGACTATTGGAGATGAAGTGATAGAAATTACATCTGTATCAACAAATGAGATTGTGATAAAATACAAGATTGTTTATTATCAAATCATCACCATTATCAAAATTATTGAATCCAACATGAAAATTATCAATGAAGAGGAACCAAGTCAGGAAACTGCAAGACTTCTTGATGTGAGTGAAATTTATTTATACTGGATAGTTTTTCAGTTCTAAGCTGTTCTTCCTAGACATCCAGCAAGGATCATCTCTTATTGATCCAGTGTTACTACAGGTACTTTATTTATACTGATTTACGTTGCTCATTCCTCCAGGAAAACAAGCAAAGAATGGAACAACTGCAACCAAAGATCACAGAGTTAAATGAACTGATGTCACAAATGAAAGATGCTGATGATGTTGATCAAGATGAATTATCTCAACTGCAATCTGAACTCAAGGACTTTGACTCCAAGATGGATACATTGAGTGATGACATTAGTAAAGAAGAAGAAAGGTAATTCTTAGTTATGGCTATATTGATCACGTTACACAAAAATTAAAACGTCCTTTCTATAAAATACATCTTATAAATTATTTTTCTTCTTGTATTTCAGACAACCAGAACTTACCAGCAGAACTATCTATACAGTTACAACAACTACAGTTCATGTGAGTACTGTGGACTATCTTTGTTTTCTATTCTCTGCCTGTGTATACTAGTGAGTTATCTAAGCATATGAGTGATATGAAGTTGTAATTTAGGTGCAAACAAACGTGAGCCAACACTACACAACTTTTGCCTAAAACTGTCGCATGCAACCTGCATACAACTTGACTTGTACTACGTAAATCAAGTACACAACTCGCTTACATCGTCATAGGTGAGTTGTGTGCTTGATTTACACAGAGCAACTCAAGTTGTAAGCAGGTTGCATGCGACAGTTTTAGGCAAAATTTGTGTAGTCTAAATCAGCCTTTACGAAAAATGTTCATACCTTGATTATTATTCGCTAAAAAGTTGGCACGTTGTTGAACTTGAAAGGATCGTAGAATAGTAATTTTGATGCGTCTTTTTCTCATCCAGGGAGGGCGCACTGCTCAACTACGTGATGGAGATAAAAGTATTGAATTTAAAACTGTTTCAACCAACGAGATTGTCATGCGGTATAAGATTCTCTATTATGAAATCATCACCATTATTGAACTGATCGAATATAACACAAAGACGATCAAGGGACAGAAACCAAGCCCGGAAACAGCGCGACTCCTTGAGGTATATGCATTTAGGAATGTTTTTTTTTTGTTTCTCTGTTTATTTGCTTGTTTTTTGTTTTGTTTGTTTCTGTTTGTTTGCTTGCTGACGCCTTAACCTTCGCTGTTTATGTTGCAGGAAAACAAGCAAAGAATGGAACAACTGCAACCAAAGATCACAGAGTTAAATGAACTGATGTCACAAATGAAAGATGCTGATGGTGTGGATCAAGATGAATTATCTCAACTGCAATCTGAACTCAAGGACTTTGACTCTAGGAAAGAGTTTGTGAATGATGATATTAGTAAAGAAGAAAAACGGTAAGATACGTGGAAATTTTTTATCTCTATTGCTGGAGATGTAGTTTAACGATCTTGCTTTCTTATCGCTGTCAACTACTGTAATAAACCATTCACTTCATTCTTATGATAATATCTGCTAAATTATTTGCTCACTTGAAAACTGTTTTAAATTTCTTAGACAACCGCCCATTGAAGGTGAAGTGATTTCCAAGACAACAACAACAACAGTTCAGGTAACAGCATTTACCTTTAGTAAATTTAGTTTGAGTCTTCTTTCTGCTACTGTATATCTTAAACAGTAGAGCCTTGCATTTGCGAAGACTGCTTCCAAATTGGCACAGGTAGTAACACTGGATCAATAAGAGATGATCCTTACTGGACCTCTAGGGAGAACAGTTTAGAACTGATAGAGCTATCCAGTATAAATGAAGTTAGTTTAGTTTAGGTTTCCTCCTGTAGTAACACTGGATCAATAAGAGATGATCCTTACTGGACCTCTAGGAGAACAGTTTAGAACTGATAGAGCTATCCAGTATAAATAAAGTTAGTTTAGTGTAGGTTTCCTTCTGTAGTAACACTGGATCAATAAGAGATGATCCTTACTGGACTTCTAGGAAGAACAGTTTAGAACTGATAGAGCTATCCAGTATAAATAAAGTTAGTTTAGTTTAGGTTTCCTTCTGTAGTAACACTGGATCAATAAGAGATGATCCTTACTGGACCTCTAGGAAGAACAGTGTAGAACTGATAGAGCTATCCAGTATAAATAAAGTTAGTTTACTTTGGTGTACATAGATCAGTAATGTGATGATCCTTACTGGACTAACACTATTATTACCCGTAAAGCTCTAGCATTCTCTTGGCTTGGCTCTTCACTTCTTAATTTCTCCATTTTGTTTGTTTCTCAGAGTGCTCCTGAGGCTCCAAGCAGACATGCAACAGTGAAATATGGAGACCATGTGTATGAAATCACGATTGTATCCACAAACGAGATTGTTCTTCGTTACAAAATTCTTTACTATGAAATTTTAACACTGATAATGAATTTGGAGAAAAATATGGCGCAGATTAAAGATTCTCCTCCGAGTAACACAACGGAAGTTATGTTGAAAGTAAGAGTTTAATTTTTTCAGCAGGACTATCCCCCTCCCTGACTTGGCGGTCTTGACCTTTCTTTCTGTTTCTTTGGTATCCCTGAGGCACAAGAGTGAAAGAAATTCTCGCTTGTCGACTCTCATGCAATTCTTGTTCTCTTTTGATGAAGCAATGAAAGTTGAGAAAACTCTCATGTAGTCTCTCGCTTCTCAACTCTCATGCAACTATTGTTCTCTTGTAATTAAAATTCTCGTCGACTCTCGCTTTCATTTGATCTGTTCACAAGGGAATGAATGTGAAATTCAATGTATTTTACATTGCAGCAAAACAGAGATGAGATGGATGAAATTCAGACAAAGATTCGCGAACTTGAACAACTGAGAAAAGACATGGATGGCGCTGATGGAGTTGATCCAGAGGAATTGGAAGATCTGCAGGCTGGCTCGGACGCACTTGACACACGATGGACGATTGTGACAGATGATGTTGAGGCGGAAGGTCAAAGGTACTACAGGAGCTCTAGGAACACTGGATCAATAAGAGATGATCTTACTGGACCTCTAGGAAGAACAGTTTAGAACCGATAGAGCTATCCAGTATAAATAAAGTTAGGTTAGTTTAGGTTGCCTCTTGTAGTAACACTGGATCAATAAGAGATGATCCTTACTGGACCTCTAGGAAGAACAGTTTAGAACCGATAGAGCTATCCAGTATAAATAAAGTTAGTTTAGTTTAGGTTTCCTCCTGTAGTAACACTGGATCAATAAGAGATAATCCTTACTGGACCTCTAGGAAGAACAGTTTAGAACTGATAGAGCTATCCAGTATAAATAAAGTTAGTTTAGTTTAGGTTTCCTCCTGTAGTAACACTGGATCAATAAGAGATGATCCTTACTGGACCTCTAGGAAGAACAGTTTAGAACTGATAGAGCTATCCAGTATAAATAAAGTTAGTTTAGTTTAGGTTTCCTCCTGTAGTAACACTGGATCAATAAGAGATGATCCTTACTGGACCTCTAGGAAGAACAGTTTAGAACTGATAGAGCTATCCAGTATAAATAAAGTTAGTTTAGTTTAGGTTTCCTCCTGTAGTAACACTGGATCAATAAGAGATGATCCTTACTGGACCTCTAGGAAGAACAGTTTAGAACTGATAGAGCTATCCAGTATAAATAAAGTTAGGTTAGTTTAGGTTGCCTCTTGTAGTAACACTGGATCAATAAGAGATGATCTTACTGGACCTCTAGGAAGAACAGTTTAGAACTGATAGAGCTATCCAGTATAAATAAAGTTAGTTTAGTTTAGGTTTCCTCCTGTAGTAACACTGGATCAATAAGAGATGATCCTTACTGGACCTCTAGGAAGAACAGTTTAGAACTGATAGAGCTATCCAGTATAAATAAAGTTAGGTTAGTTTAGGTTGCCTCTTGTAGTAACACTGCAACCAATAATGGTTGTAGTTTTAATGCACAACTTGGGGAGCTGTTCAATACTTCATAACCTGTATTGGTTGACTTAAAACTTTTATGCTTGGAATAGTTCTTTTATTTAAAGCTGAGTACCATAATTATCATGCTATTAACAATTTATTGCATCATATGATTGTTTTTTTCTTCCAAGGATAACAAGTGCATTGGACAGCAGTGGACAACAGAAAGCATCTCTGGATGAATGGCGTAGGAAATGTGAGACTATTGGTGATTGGATGGACTCTGTTGAGGACAGTGTTGAAGTCCTGGAAACCAGAAAACCATCCAGTGATATAATAAGCGCAAAATATCAAATGAGCGAATGTGATGTAAGTCATCTATCAGACATGTTAATAGGCAATCATATTCTATCTAGTTCGAATGGTTGATACTTGAATTATTATATAAGCCAACTCAAAAGATCGAACCCAGAGCCTTTTTATTTTCTTAGACTTTGTTATCTTTTCTGTATGCCAAGATTTTCGACTTTGTTTTATATACAAATGTATTTAAATGATGTCACACTACATAATGAATTTAATAATAATGAGTTTGTAGAAAGAAAACGTTTCCTTGTCAAACATGTGATAATTCCACTGACATTGAAAGTTATATACTTTACGAACTATCAAAGTATCATTTCGTCTGCAAATTTGAGTTAATGACAATTTTTTCAAGCTGAAAACAGTCTTCTGTAAAATAACATTATGCAGTTTGACGTCATTTAAGTCATATTGGCATGCCAGACAAAGTCCAATATCTTGATATATACGAAAGATAACAAAGTCTTAGATGAACTCTTCAAATGAACTTTGCAATTCAATAAAAAAAATCTTGCATAGGCACTTTAATCCCAGGAGTATATTGTTTATCGCTGACTTGCTCTGGAACTCATTATTTTTCCTCAGGCTCTTCAAGAGAAGATCAAATCAGACGAAGTGCCAATCTCGATATTCGCATACGGCGAAGAAGTTCGTAAGGAACCAAGCATAAATCCTGATCAGAAATCCAAGATCGGATTACAAATGGCCGAGATGAAGAAGGAGATTGGAAAACTGTCTGACAGGGCTGGAGGAGCAAAGCACAGGCAAGTAGTTTGTTGAAGATTATAATTTCACCTCGTTTGCCCATGAGAGAATGCTTCCATTTTGGCTCTACCAAAACAAAATAAATATAAGATTTCCTTCTCTGCAGATACAAACGAGCAGTTGACAAACTCGAGGCTGAGAGAAAGCAGAAATTAGCAACGTTAAAGAAAACTTATCAAGACTTGGATAAACAGATTGATATTTTGAAAGATAAGGATGATAAGATTGGAAAAGTCGAAGGAGATCCAGCAGCCGTTCGAGCCAAAGAAACTCTGATTGAGGTAAAGTTGTCTTTGATTAATATTTCATATACATTGTGTTAAGCTGAGCATAAATAGAAAGCTCAGTAAAGTGTATAACAGATCTAGAATATATATTTTTGTTGCTGACACCAAAATCCAAAAATAAAAATTTCTTATATGCATGTCAAAAATAAAACTTCCTGCAGATTTCAGAAAACGGTGACGTATGCCGAAAACAGACGTATTTTAATAGTTACAAACCCTGGTCCTAAGGTATCTGAGGTTTTTAAGTAAAAATATGAAAATTTCGAGTTTCAGCTTCGAACCATCTTGGAGTAAACGGCAAATATTTGACTCATCAGGTGGCCAGAAGAAATTTTTATCTGTGCTCAAAATATCTTTTAAAAGCAAACGTTTTATCAGAAATGATGTGTTATATTCATTGTGTACCCTAATAGTAATAATTATATCTAGTAGTATTATTTCAGGATTTTCTTGTTAACGTGTTATTTCTTGACGTTTGTGATGTTACTCTGAGTGTATATCCACACCGGGCGAGCTTGAAAAATATGCCTGACCACGGTGGGAATCGAACCTACGACCTTTGGAATACTAGCCCAATGCTCTGCCAACTGAGCTACGTGGTCAGGTCGGTTGGAGTATGCGATATTTCGGAACCGAGTCTAGTTCCTTCGATATCAATGCAATCTAATAATCATGAGAGTAACATCACACAAGCATCTTATTCACCTGAGTACATTTAGCCTGCGAACAGGCTCTCAAGCTGAATTGAGAGCCTGCATCGATGACTAATGAATTTGAATATCTGCGTCTCAAATCGTGACGCGAAATTCTCATTGGTCAGATGCTATAATTTATATGTTTCCGCTGAGCTCTATATATGTCAACTGAAGCACTATGCATAAAAAAAACACATTAACTGATCAAATTGGTCTTGGCCGTCTTATATCAAGGCACGAAATGTTTTCTTTTGAGAAAACAGTATTTAAAACATTTGAACTTTTGCTTGAATATCTTATATTTCGGAAAACAGTATAAAATGTACGGTCTAAATTTAGTTTGCACGGTCTAAATTTAGTTTGCACGAAAGTTGTAAACAACACCATATAAGGATAGACATTCCATATTTGGAAAAATGAACGTTACGGGGCAGATATTCAAATTCATTAGTCATCGATGCAGGCTCTCAATTCAGCTTGAGAGCCTGTTCGCAGGCTAGAGTACATTACACCAACACAGCAAATATCGTGTTATTGTTGTTCTTCTATAGTTACTTGTATCCGACATTCAAGTATTCCAGCCTCGTTTCGATGACTTCCGTCAAACCACGTGGGAGGTCTTGGAAGATCCAACAACGGACCAATCACAGCGAGATAACCTCCAGAAGGAAGTGACGTCATTAGAAGAACGCTGGGGGTTCCTCATCCGCTCTGTGTATTCCAGGAGTGAAGCGTAAGTGTGTCATGTGGAAACAGTTCATATATTAACCTATATTATATATTAGCCTGACTATCAGGCTCTATTTTTCCCATCCTTAAATGCGGGTGGACGGAAGGGGAAAGTGGGCTTGACACTATTGACTTACTATCTATTTAATGACACTGTTGCTTGTAGAACAAAGAGAGCACAATCCTTTTTTACCTTTAAATATTTTAACTAGATTAGCAATATTAGTTCTGTATCTATATTGTGTAAATACCTAGATTTGATTAATTTTTATTGTAATGTATTAAGATCGCTAATTCAGTTGTTATAACTGCGAGAGAGGTTTTTTCATGAACTGCTATAAACTACCTAATAATAATAATAATAATACATAATACATAATACATAATACATAATACATAATACATAATAATACATAATAATACATAATAATACATAATCCGACTTTTCACTTGGATTGGTCTATGAGACAAAAATTTAGTAGTATTCGATTAATTTATCATGATATAAAGATTGAAGAACACTTTCAATTTTCAAACGTTATGGGAGAATTTTAAGGAATCATTATATCATACTTCTTTATCTGTCATTTGAGATTGTGAAGTTGTACAGTCATATTTTCCAATATTTTGTATGCACTTTTGGGTCCCCGATACTTTTTCAGATCTGATGCAGGAATGTCAGATTGTAGCAAATAACTATATGGTTTGAACGTCACAAAAGTGAAATTCAAACCAGCGTGGTATCATCATTGATACTAGTTTAAAAATATTTCATTTCTTTTCTCCAGTGCAAAAAGCCTCATTTCTAGTCTACCTCAAGGTGGTGTCCTGGAAGAACTGATCATTGTTGAGAATCGTCGTCATGATTATAACATCGACTGGAGAACTCACCACGATCTGTTTGGAGCGCCTGAAGGGTGAGTGTCTTGTTTCTGCTCGATCAGCAGGCCTGTATAGATTATTTTGTCGAGGTAGCCAATCTTTGAACGGAGTTAGGCATAGGGTCTAGGGGCCACCAAGTACACCAACTCGTAGCCTGGGGCAAGAGTCAATCCTGATATCAAACTGGTGTACGGCATGCGCCAAGAGCTTTTGAATTTGGCTCAATATCTATTTTACCCTTATTTTTTAGACTATTTTTTGACTTGATACTCATTTCCTGCAAGGTTCAGACGATAGCTACAGTAGCTTCACTCCCTACCTACGGTTTTGGAGTTGAACTGTAACTTCAAAATTCTTAATTCGACGTTTTTAAATAGGATCTTTTAACATTTGAATTTGAAGCTAATCCCTTGGAATTTGGAGCTAGTCCATCGTTGCTCTGTCTCGTTAACCACTCCAGCATGACGTGACGAACAAAGATATTTTCCTACTAAGACAGGATACTGATATAAATCAAATCAGATGATATAAATATTCAGCCTTAAGAGCTGAAGGAGCAACAACTGATGTAAATTTTCGCTTGCCAAACTTGTGCAATTCTTGTTTTAATTTGGCCTTTCCATGACTGATTGCGAACTCTTCTAATCTTTTATAAGCTTTGTTGCTATTCTCAATTACGTTAGACCCAGGCTTTAATAAACACAGGTATTTCACTCAATAGAACTAAACATTGAAGGGTTTTTCTAGATGGAAATTTCAAACTGTAAATCTTTTACATCAAAATATTTATTTTTCATGCAGACATGATGAAGGTGCTGTTGATGAGCAGATCTATCGTGAACGCCTCATGACAAGATGGAAACGAGAATGTAGAGAAGTTGACGAAGCACTCTCAGATGTTGAACGCGAGAGTTCGGAACTCGGAGAAATTCTTGATGATCCCAGCAAGTCCGCCATGAAGAAAGCAAAGATGGAGGTACGATTCTTGAACAATGACGGAATATTTAAGCGAAAGGATGATTGATTGCACTAGTAGAAAAAATTGGGAAGATGTTGTAAAATCCTCCTGCAAATTATCAACTTTCCGATTCCGATCTTTATTGTCAACAAACCACAACAAATATTATCGCCATGTAATTGTACATTTATTTTTTTTATTTAGGTAATCCACAATGGTTTGAAAAAGGTTGAGAAAGAGTACAATGACTTGCCACAATATGCCAAGCTACTTTTGGATGATCCAAAGTTGACTGATGAAGACCGTGAGAAGATTCAAGGTGATCTTGACTCGTACAAGATTCGCCATGATGAAATTCTTAACTTTGTCACTGAGAGAGAGGAAACGTAAGTATTGTATCAATTTGTCGAAAAGAGGAAATACTTATTCCAATTACTGAGATGAGGAAATGCATGAACTTGTAGTTAAACTTATTTGGAGCAAAGTAGACTTCAGACAGGTTTGGATGGACATCCTTATTGGACCTCTTGGGAGGACAGTTTAGAACCCAAGTATAAATAAAATTAGTTTAGGCTTCCTACTGTAGTAACACCCTTGCCTGTCTCCCTCCCCCTCCCCAACAAAAAATCTACCTATACGTAATTAGATTTGCATGTATCATTTTAAACTTACTGTATACTATATACGTATTTAGGATCAAGAAACAAGAACCTCCTAAGTCGACAGTTGTGGTCACGGAGAGTTATGCGAAGAAAAAGGAAGTCCCTGCAGATATCATTGTGCCAGAATTGGCAATTACAGAGGAGAGGTTGGTTTATCTTGTATTTTATTTTTAGTGGTCAAATTATACGTAGGTATCGTCCGACCTCTAGGAAGAACTGTTTAGAACTGATAGAGCTATCCAGTATAAATAAAATTAGTTTAGTTTAGGTTTCCTCGTTTAGTGACACTGGATCAATAAGAGATGATTCTTACTGGACCTCTAGGAAGAACAGTTTAGAACTGACAGAGCTATCCAATATAAATAAAGTTAGTTTAGTTTGGGTTTCCTCCTATTACTACACTGGATCAATAAGAGATGATACTTACTGGACCTCTAGGGAGAACATTTAGAACTGATAAAGCTTCCCAGTATAAATAAAGTTAGTTTAGTTTAGGTTTCCTCCTGTAGTAATACTGGATCAATAAGAGATGATCCTTACTGGACCTCTAGGGAGAACAGTTTAGAACTGACAAAGCTATCCAGTACAAATAAAGTTAGTTTAGTTTAGGTTTCCTCCTGTAGTAACACTGGCTCAATAAGAGATGATCCTTACTAGACTGCTAAAAAGAAGAATTTATGTCACTTTTAGTTACAGTTAATTTGAAAGATGTCTGTGTGCTACTGTGAACTAAGAAATTACTTTTACATTTTACTAATAATGAACTCTACTATTCAGCTCTCCAGATACATTATTCAGTGCACCGGATACGGATACTTTAAGTAATTCAGAAGACATTGAGAGATGGTGGGGTGATGATCGCAACATTGTAAACTGGATTGACGAGGCAGATGAGCAAGTTAGGCAAGTGAACAGCGAACCAGCAGATCTGATTACAACACGAAAACAACATGCAAATATCGAGAGAATTACTCAGGAGATAGGGCTGTATGAAACCAATGTGACTCTGCTTGAAAACAAAGCCAATGTTATTGTCAACGATCCTGTCACAAGGAGTGAAGATCGTCAAAATGTTGAGGATGAAGTGCAAACTGTGAAGAGGAGTTGGGATAATTTGAAAGAAAAAGCTTTCAATGTTGAAAGAAAGTAAGTACTGCCCTATGTATCCATCTCGCAAATAATGCTGCTAGTTAATAAGTTCCAGGTTCCTTAATAAGCCCATCATTCTAATAAGCTTCCCTCTCTCTCTCTAATAAGCCTGTCCTTCTCTAATAAGTCCACATGTAAGCCTTCATATCTCTAATAAGGCTCTCCCTCTCTAATAAGCTACCCTCTCTCTAATAAGCTACCCTCTCTCTAATAAGCCCCCTCTCTAATAAGCTACCCTCTCTCTAATAAGCCCCCTCTCTAATAAGTCACCCTCTCTCTAATAAAGCTTCCTTTAATAAGCCACCGTCTCTCTAATAAACCACCCTCTCTCTAATAAACCACCCTCTCTGTAATAAGCCACCCTCTCTCTAGATAATGAGCCCCCTCTCTCTAATAAATCACCCTCTCTTTAATAATCTACCCTGTCTCTAATAAGCTCACCTCTCTAATAAGCCCACCTCTCTAATAAGCCCACCTCTCTCTAATAAGCCTCCCTCTCTCTAATAAGCCTCCCTCTTTCTAATAAACATGCCTCTCTCTAATAAGCCCACCTCTCCAATAAGCCCACCTCTCCAATAAGCCCACCTCTCTAATAAGCCCACCTCTCTAATAAGCCCACCTCTCTAATAAGCCCACCTCTCTAATACGCCCACCTTTCTAATAAGCCCACCTCTCTAATAAGCCCACCTCTCTCTAATAAACCCACCTCTCTAATAAGCCCACCTCTGTAATACGCCCACCTTTCTAATAAGCCCTCCTCTCTCGAATAAGCCCACCTCTCTCTAATAAGCCCACCTCTCTAATAAGCCCACCTTTCTAATAAGCCCACCTTTCTAATAAGCCCACCTCTCTCTAATAAACATGCCTCTCTCTAATAAACATGCCTCTCTCTAATAAACATGCCTCTCTCTAATAAGCCCACCTCTCTAATAAGCCCACCTCTCTAAACCTTGCTATTCTCAATAACAATAACAACTGACATTTGTTTAGTCTTTACGAGCAAGTGAACAAACTTCAGGAATACTTGAGTTGGACCCAGAAATCAGAAGCATTATCAGGATGGTTAGAGGATACTGAGAGAAGTCTGGATTCTTGTGCAGTACCAAGCAGTAATCCAGTGGAGCGAGAGAAACAAACACTGTTCCTTGGGGTAATATATGCTTATACAAACACTTTTATCCCCGGGTTGTACGAGGCCGAATAACACCATACACCAGGTTGTGAAATTGTGAATTTTTTTTATTTTTTCTCATCACAGAAATTTTTGAAAGAATGTGGTCAGAATCAAGAGAGTGTCGACGATGTTCTAAGTCATGGAAATTTGGTTGTCAACAAGAACTTGGTTCCAGAACAACATCTTGACAAGATCAAAGAAGATCTGAAGGATTATCGAGAAAGATGGAATGAATTGTTGAAGAAGGCAGAACATGTTCAAGAAAGGTAACGAGGGATGAACCTGCAACCTTTTCTGTCGATCATAAGCACTTCCTTCACTTGTTTATACATACTTAGCTTGTTTAAGCTTTTTAATCCAACATCGGAATGCCTTTTTGTTTATTAGTCATTCAGTACTGTTGTAAACAGTTTATGTATCCGAATATTCGAATCCGGAAACTGTAGCGAATCTGCAACCTTTCGCTCTGATGGCATTCATGACAGCCTACTGACCTACCACCTAAATGAACGAATATTGTTAATAATCAGGTCCACAGTCGCGATACAAGATATTCCAAATCCAATTTAGTATGTCCTCGATATAACAGGGAAACAGAACGTGGTCGAACATTAACTGTTACTATTGCCAAATTACGGAACAGTTTGTCATTAGAACTTAGAAGTCTCTCAAGGCACATACATGTGGACATATGTTTTTGATGATCAACAGTCACTACATCATTTTAATGTGTAGTTCTTATTAGTTTTTAACCTATTTTAATTGTATTTTATTCCATTGCATTGTATTTTAGATGTACATGTACTTTACCTAAATTGAGAAATGATCTGGTTCAGAAAATGATGCCCTTTCTTTTGTTATTTCAGGCTAAATAGTGGCAAGAAAGATCTTCAAAAACTGGAAGACAATCAGAGAGAGTATGTAGTCATAACTACATGGATAACTACAATTGAAAAACGTTTACAAGAATTAAAAGATGATACCAGCAGCGATGATGAAGCATTGAAAAAACGACGTGTTATTATATTGGTAAGAAATATAAAGAATAATAAATTCTCTGCATTAAAATATCAGATTTTCTTCTTTCGACAGTATTCTATATTAGCCAGTCGCTTAGATAAATGTTCCTATGTCAATATTAATATAATTTCAACTGGAATGGTGAGAGGTTATACCAACATCAATCATATTATCCTAATTTTGATCGACATTTTTATCTAAACCTTTCCAATAAACCGCAAATTTGTCTCAATTCACTCCATCTTACACGTGTCCCCCCCCCCCCAATGCAAATTTGTTCCACGCCCTCTGAAATTCATCTTAAGTCGAAATGGACCAGCTTCTCAAGGAGTTCCTGATATAATTTGGCCTCGTACTGGGCTATAAACAAATTTGGCTAAGCTAACTTTCACTGTACGTTACCTGACAAGTTTTGAAACCTGCAAGTCTAGTTACTGTTATGAAACCTGCATGTCTAGTTACTGTTATGAAACCTGCATGTCTAGTTACTGTTATGAAACCTGCATGTCTAGTTACTGTTATAACATGGAACTCATTCTAATGCATTTACACATTAATTTGACATTGGTCAACACAGTAAGAGAAGTACAAGTTCCTTATAGAAGGGTTTATTCGAAGTCACTCAACATTAATCCATGTTGTTTTTTCAACATCCACAGCTATATTTTCTAAAGCGTCCATAAATGTCTTGCAGGAGATTATTGAAGAGATCACAACCTACAGAATTCGTCTTCGCCGACTCATTGATGACAATGAAAACTTGGCAAACAAAGACACACTTTCTCCTGAAGACCGGGATAAACTTGTACAAGATACAAAAGATTTGGAAAAACGGTTGGATGGTCTCGATGATGATGCCAAGAAAGATGAATCTAGGTACATATTCATTGTAAATTAAACATGATCTTTACTGGGCCTCTAGGAAGAACAGTATACAACTGATAGAGCTATCCAGTATAAATAAAGTTAGTTTATTTTAGGTTTCCTCCTGTAGTAACACTGGATCAATAAGAGATGATCCTTACTGGACCTCTAGGAAGAACAGTTTAGAACTGATAGAGCTATCCAGTTTAAATAAAGTTAGTTTAGTTTAGGTTTCCTCCTGTAGTAACACTGGATCAATAAGAGATGACACTTACTGGATCTCTAGGAAGAACAGTTTAGAACTGATAGAGCTATCCAGTTTAAATAAAGTTAGTTTAGTTTAGGTTTCCTCCTGTAGTAACACTGGATCAATAAGAGATGACGCTTACTGGATCTCTAGGAAGAACAGTATACAACTGATAAAGCTCTCCAGTATAAGTAAAGTTAGTTTAGTTTAGGTTTTTCTCCTGTAGTAACACTGGATCAACAAGATGATCTTTACTGCACCTCCAGGAAGAACAATTTAGAACTAATAGAGCTATGCAGTATAAATAAAGTTAGCTAATGTTATGTTAATTTGTATTTCCAGTCTAAATGATCAACTGGATACCAACACAACGAAACTAGATGATTGGCAGAAAAAAGCAGACGATCTTGACAAATGGATTATTACAACAACGACAGAAATCAAATCATTTAATGTTCCACCTGTCGACGAAACGGATAAAGAAAAACAGAACAAGTATTTGGAGGTAAGCAGAGCAATATTGTGAATGAACCAGACAATTATGCATGTAGTCTTGGAAATCCGAAAATCTCGGAGCGAAACAGATCAAGCTGGAATGTACTAGTGCCAGCAGTGAGTTTGAACAAAACCGCGAGTAAATTGAGGTCTGGTGTGAGAAACGTTGCAGCAAATTTTATGAGACGGTTATGGGTAATACAGATCACAAGTTTTATTATATGCTGCCGTGATATAATCTAAGAAGACAGAGTCCTTTTGAGTGTACACGAACCAATTGTTTTAGGGACGCCTAATCAGTAGATATTTATACAAATTTCATGTAATACAGTACAGTATATCGTTTACTGACCCCAGGAATAAGGATACAATTTTATTTCTATGATCGAATATACTATATCGTTAACTCTTTGATTTTTTTTGTAAATTTTGCGCAATTACTATTTTAATCATATTCAAAAATCAATAATTTATGAGGAAAACACAAAGAAAAATCATAAGCGTGTCGTATATTTATATGTATAGAGATTTCCCTTGATTTACATATTATTGCAATTTTTCGCGATTGAATATTGCTAGGAGTTTGCTAAACAAAAGCAAGAGGGTGATGAGCGTGTCAAGGATGTTGTGTCCAGTGGACGACAGCTCGTGAGTGAAGGTGTTATACCTTCTGACAAACGTGACAAATTTGAGTTTGATCTGGAGAATATGCCTGGAAGCTGGGACAGTGTCGTGAACATGGCTGATGAATCTAAAGATAAGTAAGTTCTTAATCTCTTCATGTTGTTGTCTTTAACATATACACACAAAGTGTATGTTTTAAGGAATGACACTTGCTGGACCTCTAGGGAGAACAGTTTAGAACTGATAGAACTATCCAGTATAAATAAAGTTAGTTTAGTTTAGGATTCCTCCTGTAGTAACACTGGCTCAACAGGAGATGATCCTTACTGGACCTCTAGGGAAGAACAGTTTAGAACTGATAGAGCTATCCAGTATAAATAAAGTTAGTTTAGTTTAGGTTTCCCCCTGTAGTAACACTGGATCAATAAGAGATGATCCTTACTGGACCTCTAGGAAGAACAGTTTAGAACTGATAGAGCTATCCAGTATAAATAAAGTTAGTTTAGTTTAGGTTTCCTCCTGTAATAACACTGGATCAATAAGAGATTATCCTTACTGGACCTCTAGGGAGAACAGTTTAGAACTGATAAAGCTATCCAGTATAAATAAAGTTAGTTTAGTTTAGGTTTCCTCCTGTAGTAACACTGGATCAATAAGAGATGATCCTTACTGGACCTCTAGGAAGAACAGTTTAGAACTGATAGAGCTATCCAGTATAAACTATCCAGTTTGACCTGATTTGACACAAAAACATCTGTAAGTTAAATTAAATCGGTCAAAGCTGTAAACCCCAGGAGCGAAAATCATGTTAACCTACAATGTATTACTATCGTTGCCTTTGAACTCCAGCATGTAATTCTATTTTCTATTTAGTTTGGAAAAGGCTGACAAAACTTCTCATGACTATGACATCTGGTGCAAAGATGCTGATGAAACGAAGGAAATTATTGAAAG